ATTACAAAAGTGATTCTCAGTGACTGATTAGGGGACTGGAGGCTAAAGCATATAAGGAACGGCTGCTGGAATTGGATATGTCTAGTTTAATGAAGAGAAGGATGAGGGGGGACATGATAGCAGTGTTCCAATATCTCAGGGGCCGCCACAAAGAAGAGGGAGTCAAGCTATTTTCCAAAGCGCCTGAAGGCAGGACAAGGAGCAACGGATGGAAACTAATCAAGGAGAGAAGCAACCTAGAACTAAGGAGAAATTTCCTGACAGTTAGAACAATTAACCAGTGGAACAACCTGCCTCCAGAAGCGGTGAATGCTCCAACACTGGAAGTTTTTAAGAAGAGACTGGACAGCCATTTGTCCGAGATGGTATAGGGTTTCCTGCCTGAGCAGGGGGTTGGACTAGATGACCTCCAAGGTCCCTTCCAACTTTACTACTACTACTACTACTACTACTACTACTATTATTATTATAATACAGCAAACCCACCACATGCATTATAACCCCTTGATGCCAAGGAACTGGCCTTAAATAAATATCCACTCTTTCCCAATTATCCAACCTTCCTTTCCTTTAGCTATGTGCTCTCCCATCCTGCCCATTGTCCCTGCTAGGCATATCCATGTGCCTGATGTCATACCTACCCAGCCCACGTTCTCTCTGCTCAAACTTTCTGCCTCCTTTTTCTCCTGTATTCTATTATTTCAGGTGACCTTTCCTTTACTCTCCACACAGGAATACTCTGCCCCAAATATGCCTGCTCAAGATCTCTGCTTAAACCATGTATGTGTATTCTTGATCCATGCTCAGACATAATATGCATATGCAATAGTTTGCACAATCCTGCTTTCCATCCACTCTGTACATTGTGCATCATCAGTCTGGTTTCTTATATTTTTTGTAATTTTGGATACTCTTAACCACCACAAATACGCAGGTGTTAATTATGTATTTGAGTGCAATAAGAACATTTCTTATGTTACTGTTCAGTTGTATGCAAAAGTTTAGATTCCTATGGTCAAATTGTATGTTTTGATGAATGAAATTTGACACAACCTCTACATATTAAGTTAAAAATAGCACCTAGCAATAGCAATAGCACTTAGACTTATATAGCGCTTCATAGTGCTTTATAGCCCTCTCTAAGCAGTTTACAGTATCACCACATTGCCCCCAGCAATCTGGGCCCTCATTTTACCCACCTTGGAAGGATGAAAAGCTGAGTCAACCTTGAGTTGGTGTGACTCGAACTGCTGGCAGTTGGCAGTCAGCAGAATTAGCCTGCAATACTGCATTGTAATCACTGCACCACCACGGCTCTTAAAATGACATAGTTCTGCAAATTTGAATGAAAATTTATTACTTACATGCAATTATTTACAGAATTAGAATAGGAAAAGATTTAATATAATATACACAGACATTTGGACACCCTTTCAGCTGGTACATTATGGGCATCTCCTTTGGCAGCAATACAGTTTTCAAATGTTTCTGTAGCCAGTAAGATTTTTTTTGTTCTTTTGTTTTCAATTTTTTTAGTTTATCAAAATATAAAATACAAAGGAAAATAAAAATAATGGGAAACTAGAAGGAAAAATTACCTCAGTAGAAGATAATAACATTACAGCTTCAACTTTTTGCTTTTACACATTAATATATACCAGCCATTTCTATAACAACAAATCTATCTAATCATCAAAATCAAAGTTTCATTTTTTTATTGCAAGCACAAAATCCAGAAGCGATTTCATAATAAAAAACATAATTAAATATATTCTCTTCTTTGAATAGAGCAGTCAGTTTAACCATCTTTGCTTTTTCTTCCTTGTTGTGGAAATTATTTATTTCTGTTTGCACTTAATAGTCTTTATAAACTTTATAAATTATTATCATTTATATTAACAAAATTTACTATATTTTTTTCAGATTCTTTAACCTTAAAGATAAAAAACACTTTTCATCTATTTTAAAACACTAAACTTTTCTTTAAAAACATTTCTAAAATCAATAAGTTTTAATACATCTTTTTTAACTTCCTCTTAATATACAGACTTTAAAATTCATTTTCAGTAATATTTTACAAGCTTTAAAAATTACTCAAAAATTATATATGAAAGAAAAGAACCATTTTCAAACTCATTTTATAAACACAAACAAAACACAAGCTGCATTAAAGCTTTGTTTCAATTACACAGATCAGACCAATACAAATCCAATTCCAATTACCTCATTACATTTAAATCCAAGTTATCTTCATAGAATAAAAGTTTTCTTCTTGTATACATCCATTTTGACATTAAACTTTATTTTAAGCTAATACATCTTTTTTTAAACTTTCTGTTAATATAGATACTTTCAAGTATACTTTCAATAAAATTTTACAAGCTTTAGGAATTACTTAAGCATTATATATATATATATATATATATATATATATATATATATATATATATATATATATATATATATATATAT